GGATGGATGGCTCATAAAATGCATTTAAGCACTTGATTAAAGTAAAAGAATTGGTGTGAATTTATTTTAAAAATGATTATAACATCTCATTCGATCTTAAACAGAGGATTAGTTAAATAAATAGCTTTTTAAATGTCTCTTTTAAATCTGCTTTCTGCAAAAGATTCATTGTTTCACGTTTCCTGGAGACGGAAAATGATGCCGGAGACGTTCAGCGCACTCTGGAAATGCACATTAAATCTTTTCATCGACAGGAAAATGTCTTTCATGCAATTTCATCATATCCTACAGAAATCCTTAGATCCTGAAAATGATCTCAGACTTGACAATCAGTCACAGCTACGTTTGGTCAGATATGACTCACATGCTTCTTTCAGTCAATAACCCATTCGTCTTAAATAGTTTCACTCTGATTCTGCTGACAGTATTCTCTACTTCTGTTTCCAGAGGCTGACTTGTTCCTCCGTGGGAGGAACCGAGCTCCCAGCCCCTCGGCTCCTGGCCTACTTCTGAATCAATGTTTGACAAAGGGCGAGTCTCTCCCTCAGCAAAAGGCAGGGAATTAGAGAAGATCTTGAATGGTGAGAAGGCCACACGCAAAGCTAGAGGCTGTATAGTCCACATTCTCTATCAGAGACAAACAGTCCGTGTGAGATCATATTTCCCTGTCCTCAATAATGAAAATAAACCTGCTTACACACTAAGTTTATCCACGTCGAAGGTCACCGTGTCGGGATAAACAAACTGCGGTTAGAGAGAGGGGTGAGGAAAGGGTTGGCAAATATTTGTTTGCCTGTATTTTATGAAGACCTGACTACTGACACCACTGAAACGTGAGCTTCTGCTGTTAAAATGAACTTTATTTTACAATTTGTACATAATCTTGCACTGGAGAGTTGTTTTTGTTTCAGGTAAACAGATAAATCGGGTGAATGGTGCTTCTGAGTGAGATTTATCCTGACAAAAACAACGAGCAGAGACAAACCTGCAGGTCTGACAGTGGAGCATTGCTTTCAGTGTTAACTGTGGTGGTAGTTTTGAGGTTTAACACATTGTTCTGCACTCAAAAAGGCATATTTTCCCTCTGTAAGTGTGGGCTAGCCACTTCTTTTTAATACGCACTGTCAGTTTAGCATTACTTTTGACTTTTACAGGACATATTTTGTCATTCCGCTGTCAAAAAATACTATCAATTCATTATAATATTTATATTTGTCATTCTTAAGACTAATTTTATGCTTTCAAATTACGTGTATGCGATCAAACGTTAAGGGATGTTAAACACAGATAAAATGGCGCCGCATGTTTTACAACGCAGGAAATCAATATGCTTTTTTTCTCATTATTATGCATGTCATTACGCCTGCCATTTCAACAGTCAACAATCACCACAACACTTGATTCCAAACTGACATTCAAGGGGTCTGTACAAGAGATCACAAAAAAGGAACATAATTCTTCCATGACAATTTGAAGCCTCAGATAATTGCACAAAATGTCACATAATTGTTGAAAAAGTCAAAACAACACACAGCCCACACAGCCTTATGTGCACTGACATAAAGTGCATTTTTGCTAAGTTCTGAGTCATTTCCTTCAATGCCAAATGGTAAACAGTGCAATTTCCAGCAGCCCCGCTGAGAGCTGTCACTCTGCCTCAACTGGTGTTATATTAAAATGCTTCAGAAATTAGCACTACCTGAGGCATAAACCACCCAAGAACTGACTGTGGGCTCCAGCAGAAGCAGACATTAATTAGAGCAAATATGTGTCATAGCTGGACACGTTATGTATAATATATTTCTACAGCCGGAGCCAAGTGTTACATTGACCCCTTGTTAGGTCTGTGGACACATTTCCACTCCCACACGGCATTTTAAGCCAAAATCTTACTACAAGACTTCTGTACTGCCAGACCCTTTAATGGCGCTCAGTCTAGTGCTCATTTAAAAATATACTTAGTGGACAATGCTTTGAACCAGTGTCGGGTTTTTTGTGTGTTTTCTTTTTTTTTTAGCCTTTATTAGTGTCACAACCACACAGAGGAACATTTACAATGCAGTTTTCCTACCTGAGTTTCTCATCTTTGAATCACATGGAAAGATTTGGCTTCTCTATAACACACACGCGCTCTCTAAACGCTGCAGTTAGCAAAGAAATAGCAGGAAAAGAAAGCAAATAAACGCTCTAGAAAATAAATTCGCTAATTTACCTGTCAAGGTGCTCGGGACTTAACTTGTAACCTGAGTCAAAAGTGTATTTTGTCCATAGCAAAATAATAAAAGCTTTTTTTTCTCAAATAGTACCAAAACCACAAACCATTAAAAAGCAACTGGCATTTGACAAAAAATCTCACATTTATTTTATTTGTTAAACAAGTGTTGAACTTTACATCAGTCTTAAGTGAAGAGCCCCTTGGTAACATGTTTACATAAAAAACATGAGCTACAGTACAGCATGTATACCAGTGCTGGAAAATATTCACACATTTCCCATTTATTTATTCTTTTTTTTTTTTTGGAAAGATTTTAATAAATAAAATATCCAAACCCAAGCGGAAGAACTACATTTATGATAGGAACTTTATTGTTCAAAGTCGCTCGTTTCATTTGCGCTTGCCCGCCACTCTGCCGTTACTTAAAAAGATCTATATCTGCCAGAATTACACAAAAAAACTGTGCAATGCATAAGTCACCTTAACTGGGGGTTTTTGCATTCCCATTCTACCAAAGTAAATGGCAAAGTCAAATAAACATATTTAAACATGGGCGATATCGATGGGAGAAAAAAACACTGTTCACAAATGGAAAAGGTGATAATGCATCTTTGTAATTGGTTGACTCGATCTCTCCTTTTATAAGCCTTAACGTTCAAACGCACTACCATGAATGAAGTGTTGGAACCATAAACACACTGTATAACATATGTGCAACTTCTACACAATAGTCTCTCAAACGTTAGATTTTGCAATTATAAGGTTTCTTCATATTTATGGTTTCCCATTGAATTTTTTTTGTTTTACACTAGCAATACAACAAAATATATATTTTAGCCATTTTTCCTTGACAACAGTTCAAGTTACAGTTGAGAAAATATAAGGCCAGGGGCTTGATTGCTAGTGGTTATACAATCCAAACTTGATGGTGATCAGGACCTTATATTCCTTTGCTAACAGTTTGATCAGGAACATTTTGCAAACGTGTCCATGTCCTGGTCCGGGGGTACTGTTCTGTATACAATATTGAAACAAAAAATAACACAAAAGAAAAAAACAGGCTTCAGCTAGGTTGTTGGGGAGTGTATGTACAGCCTTTTGACTGGGAGGTTGCTGATTGGATGTAGCCAGTATTGATTCTTTCTCGCTCTCTCTTTTTTTCCTTTTTTTTTACATTTTTTTTTTTTACATTTTTTTAAAATTTTCGTACCTTAAAATTTTCTCAATTAATCAACAGCAGCAGCACATTTAAATACATAGTTGGCTTGTCTCTTAAAATTGAAATTTAACTCTGCATTTTATGTACAGTCTCATTAAAACTCTGCACTGCCATCGCTGTGCTCCAAGTCTATTGGTCTGCAGGGACGTTAGGAAGGGTGGCATGAAAAGAAGATGGCGATGGAGATGTAGGTTTGCAAATGGCTAAGTGTAAATGGCGGGGCTTTTAAGCTCTCTTCAAAAAAGCAAACAAACCCCAAACAAACAAACAAAAAAAGCCCATTTAAAAAAAACAACAAAGAAAAATGCCTCCCTTCCCTTTTATAATGTCCTCCAAGAGTTCAGGGCTGCAGGAAGGCTGGGAGCGGTCTGGGGATGATTTAAATACATTTAAAGGCTTGTCACTAACTGCATCTGTCCTTCTCGTACGTCGCCTTCAGGGATGCTGTCCTCTTTAGTAATGGGAATAATGTAACCATCACTGCTCCCTCGGCCTATCTGGTAATAGGCTTGGAGCTGCTGGCCACCCCCCAAGTTAGGCATACTCTTGTAGTAAACGTCCTCATTCTCGCTCCTCTTGGAGGGGGACAGGTCCTCCACAACGTCAGGGCTGCTCTCGGGGTACGGAGAGTCTTTCAGATTAGGCATACTAGTGTACAGGGAGTCTCTGTTTGGGGACTGCAGACTATCATCGGGATTGGTGGGTGTCAGCTCGCTGACAAACGTATCAACTCCCCCATCGGTCCTCACCTTCTTCTGGGGTGCATACAGAAGCGAGTGAGTCCGCTGGGGGATGAGAGGTGCCTCCAGCTCCTGGCGCAGCTCGAGGCCCACCGCGTCACCCACGTGGACCAGAGACGAAGCGTCGGCCACAATAGCGTCGTCTTCGCTGCTGCTTCCACCTACCACCGTCACCTTGGGCGGAGCCCGCTCCGTGTGGTGGTGATGGTGGTACTGCGGTGGCTGCTGGTGGTGGGGTGGATGATGTAAACTGTGGTGCTGCTGCTGTTGCTGTTGGTGGCTTTTATTACAGGCACGCAGGTTGTTGTGTACTAGCTCGGAGATTATCATTTTCTCAAAGGCAGCATCGTCCAGACTCAGGCCGCAGTCTACTACCTGCACACTGTCGCCAAAGTCCCCGTTACGGAGCGAGTAGCTATTATTAAAGTTACCATTTAGCGGTAGAGTATCCATTGCACTTGTGTCCCTCACCGCATTGTTCAGTGAGTGCCCTGGAAAGAAAGGCAAATAGAGGGGATTTGACATTAGTCAAACAGCAATAACAGCAGGGGGGATAAAACAGAGCGTTAATGCTGTTTAGGATGCAGTTTCACATGGAGGTCAAATAAAGCCATGCCGTAAATCTGTTAGTTAGGCACAATCCTCAGCATACGCAGGCATGCATCACTCGCGTTGAGAAATCATTTTACTTTCTCACATTTTTCCCTTTTAAAAAGCTGCTTTAAGAACAAACAGGAAGGGGTTTGTGCGCTTAGTTCTGCCACGAATGTGAAAAAGATCCCAAACAACATTAAGAAACAGACAGTAATCACCATCACAACACACCGGGCAAAAAGTGGATGTCCACATGTATGAAGCCACAGACGGGCAAGCTACGACACTTAGAGGTTTTCTAGCAACTAATAGGTTGGATGTGCTGAACTAAAGAAAAGGACAGAGATGGCAAAAGATGACATAAGACAGAAAAGGGAAAGTGGTCATGGGACAGCCATCTTTGTTCCCACTACAAGGGGAGCCCACAAGCAGCACTCCACCATCACCACACACAGCAGGTGAAAGGACTCACTTTAGACAACTCACATCATGTCTGTCTGCTCAGGCTATCTGGTCTAAGAGCAGCTGATGTACAAAAGAAAGTAAAATGATTTATTGTAACATGAAGAATCACTCAAAAGAACAACAAAATGTAACGGTCTTAACTGCAACTTAGCAAGAGCAAGGGTTCAGCAAATGAAATCATTAAGCATCGGCTAGCTTTTCGTTCTCCGAGCTAACTGCCAGCAGCTTTGTTGTCGTTTTTTTTTTTTTTTTTAAGTTGAGTTTGTGTCGGTACACTTGCTGTCCATTAGTTGGCAGCTTGTGTACCCAAAGCTGGCAAAGGTCAAAGCCTGCCCGCAGCTCGGCACTTGGCATCCGTCACAGTAACAGTTCCCAGTGAGACCCCGGTCACCAGCAGAACAGCTCAAGAAAAAAAACAGCTGCTGCTGAGGTCAGACTCAGTCATGTTAGGAATTTCTCAAAGCATGGAGGTCATGGAAAGCAGCAGAAAAATGTATTTGTAATACCACGACTGAGAAAGGAGATCTGCTACCACTTTAATTGTAACATTAATTCAGTGTCCATGGCAATTCATTATGTCACTGTCGACCGATTGTGACTAAAGATTTTACAGAGATTCTGTGGAAATTTCAAAAAAAGTATGAAGAACAAAAACTAAAGCTGAGCAGCTGCAGCCATGACATCCATGTGTTTATGCCCGCTAGACAGCAATTTAGCGTCCAGACGGGAAAAACAGTGCGGGGACACTACTGGACACTGAAACTGCTGTATGCCACACAAGGACAAACAACTGGAGAGAAAAGAAAAGACGTGAACAAAAGGTAGAAAGAAAAGAAAAAAGAAACCTTTGTGACAAAAGCTGTTCTGACGGGGAGAAAAAAAGCAACACATGTTGTTTTGGTTAAATCTCAAATTAAGCAAAAGAGACGATAGCAGAGTAAGAAGCATTTAGAAGCTCTGGAAGAAGATTTGATCTTTTATTGTCTTTCAAATTTGGGTGGATAATTTTGTGAACCGCTTGCTCACTGAGTGTGTGTTAATGGCCTAAAGTGAACCAGTGATTGTGCCGGGGTTTTGTCGGGTTTTTTTTTAATAAGCATGCTGAAAAAAATTTACATTTGATAGGCAAAGTTAAGTTTTACTCCCATACTTGTCTCTCTGTAGGTCACTAGAAGGAAGCACAAGGGAAAAGCACAAAACATGACAAAGGAGGCCATTTCAGTTTCAAAATAAAATACATATATAGATATATATAAAAATAATCACAGCACAGTCTTTACAGTGTGGTATGCATGTGTATGCAGCTACTGCATGATTTTTCTTGCAGTTTAATGTGTTTTGAAGGGGAAAATTCCCTCTGAAGCAAACCAAAACTAACAAACGACCTGTTCAATTCATCATAATAATCATGCAGTTTATACTGCGGCTGCACAGTTTGCATTATTTTAAGGCAGAACGTGTAGTATCTCTTTCCCATCTTAATCATCACGTCCCATGCAGAGTGTGGATATTAGAAATACGAGAACACATATGAGACTCTATTGAGGCGAACCACAAAAATCTCTGGCGTGCATGAAAACGTGTGCATTTTCACACAGGCACACACACATTCTCTCACTATGTGGTGTGTCAAGCATTTGGGAGACAGTGATTCAGAAGGAAAGGTGATACTGCCGAACATCCTGGCTTTTCTTTTAGCGTGCTGTACACTGAAGTGAGATACAAAAGAGGGAGAGAGAGCAGGTAAAGACAGAAGAACAGGCAGAATGCAGGTGAAAGTATCAAGTAAGCACACCTGGTGAATTAAACACTGGAGCTGTGGGAGTGTTACATACGACTGTCTCAGCCAGTAAGGTGTTATAAGGGTTGTTAGTGCCTTGTGGTCGCAGGAGAGGATTTGTTAGTAGATAGTTCCCGGTCATTCCTGGAGCAGCGGGACAGAAGAGGAGCGTCGAGAAAAAGAGATCAAGGAGATTAGC